TGTTTTATTTAATTCCCCTCGCGCCGCGCAAATTCCTCGTCGTCGTTTCACTTCGTTCTTTCTTTACTTCCCCAGGACTTTGGCTGCCTCCGTCTAGCAGCTCTTCTTACGCTTCCTGCTTTTTCTCCATCAACCTCATTGTTGTGTGCCGTTTTTTTTTCTTTCTTTTTGGATCCGTCTTAGTTCGTTTTGGTCCGCGGCGTCGTCAAAAGTCTGCCAGGCGCTCTTCTGATTCGTGAGTTCGCTCGCTGTTTTTAGTGGCAACGATCCTGTCACGATTTTAAACGCAACAATGGTGGAAGGAACGCTTTGAGTATTGTTTCGTCAAGCAGAAATCTCGCAGTTTCGTAGACCGATGTTTTGCGAAATTTTACGCGATAGACGACTGCACGAACGCGGTGCAGGGAGTCATTAAACTTCTATTTTCTTCCCAAACATCTTTATTGACTAAGAGTCTCTGAGAACTTTCTTCTTTCAATTATTTTAGCTTAACAATCTCAGGGAGAGGCGAGTTCATTAAGGAAGATAATTATGGTTCTATCTTTCTAAAACGAATAATGCAAATATTGTGTGGTCATTAGGAGTTAAAAGTAGGATTTCACGATAATATGTATCTTTCTCTTTTTGCAATCATGCTTGAATTACATTACAATTTCGCGCTTATTCTTAAAAAAACGACAGATCTTTAATGTCAAATAGCAACACGTTTTCTTCAAACTAAAAAAATTTGTTACAAACAGAAAGAATACATTATAATATTGCACGTGGTGTACATACGATGCGTTTCATGTTTCTTCTTGCATTTAGAAAACAACAATCACGAAAACGATGAAAATGACGACAACGACGACGACGACGACGACGACGATGCACGACGGGATTCTAGTTGATAAAAAGTGGCTAGTAAAACAAGCGAAGTGTGATCGGTTATGTCAAAAGGGTGTGGGGACAGGGTCGATCGAAGGGGTGGTCAATGGGGATTGGTGAGCAGCTCGTCTGCTCGGTGAACCGTGGATTAAGATAAACCCTTCATCGGTTTCTTGTCGAACGATTCTTCCTCCTGTACGTTTCTGCGCCGCGAATGGTCGAAGATAGGCACTGGCTTAAAGTACTTCCCGTCATTCCGTTGGAAATTATTTAACGTCCGGTATCGTGGCGTCATCGTTCACCACTCGAAAACGTCCGGTAAAAGTGGCCAAACAGTCTGGCTATTCGATGAAATTAAACATATATACGATTATTATCCACTTTCTACGTTTGAAAATTTATCTAATTTCTCCTCGCCGCTCGTCACGCCTTAATTTCATTACGAATTTCACCGCGACTCGTAGAAACGAAATTTTCTCGAACAGATAACCTCCCGGCGATTATTCGGGTTAACCGAGGATATCTTTAAAAAGATATCGAAGAATAATTGCTATTTCGGCATTAATGCAAAATTGAGCATGGCTGATCGCTGTAGAGATAAATTGCCGGAGATCTGTTTGGAGTTATAATTGCTCGTAGGATTAAAATATCTCCATAGCGAATTTCTGTAATTGGATTTTTTGCAAACAGGAAGTACGAGATTCACGTACGATCGCGGTACCATAATGGCGCCTACAACTTTCAAGCGATCAATCCTATTATCATTGGAACATACCGTGTATTTTAATTCCACGAGTTGTAAAAAGTTAAACAGGCAAGGTAAAAGCATCGATTAAATTCGAATTCCACGAACTACATTGTTCTTGAAGGATTTTCGAATCCCAAGGATGCCTTTCTGGCACGTACCAAATTCCAAGGTCTTTAATCTTCTCTCCATTCATGCAAATTCGGCGTAACGCGAGAGGAACGTGGCGGGCCAGCGCCTCGGGCGAGATTCTCTCGTTGCGGGAACGCGGATAGAAAAAATAATGTGGGACAGCGGACGCGTTCCAGTATGCGATTCTGTGCGACCTCGCGCGTTTATGCGCGGTGCGGCGCAATGGGAACGGCCCGAAGGAACCGGCGCTGAACGGTCGCCGCGAGACAATGAGAAACCAATCCGCGTGCTCACCGCCTTACGAGAGGATGAAAGAATGCCACGGAACCGGCCGTAAATCCACCTCCCTCGAGTGCGTTCGCCGGCGTGAAATTAAGAGAGCAATGGCGAGGAGAGACGAGCCACCGACGCAGCTTCTGCTGTCGATATCCAGGCAACTTCTTTTATGGAAGTAGAAGATTCTTCGTTTTATATTTAGGGAGAACGTTTCTGGAACTTTGCGAATGTTGATTTATGATTACGAAGGAGAACGCGAGGATCATTATCGCGAATATTGCTCGAGAAGTAGCGGGAAATTTAAGACAAATTTAAAGACTGTATCGTAAGTGTTTTTCTTTTTTTATATGGAAAGTTTGATATGAAATTACGGACTTTAATCATCAATTTAAAAAATTTAGATTTATGATTAATAAACAGAACGTGGGAATTTACTAAGTTGATTCAAAAGAAATTTAATCCCGTTACAATCATGGAGATTCGACATTAAAGAAAAAAAAAAAGATGTAAAAATCGTTTTTCAGGCTTCTCTTTTAGCAAGCTTCTCTATACAAGTTTCTTTTATCAAATGTTTAACACGAAGTTATCTGTAATTCTTCCAAGTGACAACGTGTAACTGCTGTTCAAAGCCACGTAACGCTTGTTTATGGTAATCTGCGCTACTATCGCTGTTTTACAGGATAATCAGAACAATTTCATCTATGTAATAACACAAGGAAAATGTTTTTTCGCACCGCACGATCACGACTAATTTAAACGAGATCATCTAACGTTGCCACGCGAATTCACGATAGCGCGGAACATCTTTTACGCGGTTTCTCGCGACGTTGCGCAGCGTCGACTAATAATTTTCCGTTTAAACATTACAATTACTAATTACTCCGCGATTTGCGCCGATCTCGATGATATCGCTGCTATTACTTCTTCTCCTCGCGGGGATAACAAACCTTTCCAGCCTTGAGAGATTAACCTTGTTTGCTTTTCGATAACTTGCAATCGTAGTTTGCATTTACACCCTCCTGTTTTTGAAATTTTTATCCGAATTCTGTTTCCTGACGCTGGCACGTGAAAGTGGAGACAGCGAAGGGTTATTTTGTTGCATCGCTTTAACAGGCGAAATTTCGTATACGTTTGTAGTATCTTAAATAGTCTAGAGTAAAGACAAGAAAGGATGTTCTATTTGAAGTGAAGTTTAGTTTTATTTTAACAAGCAATACTCAATGCAAAAACTGACTACAATGTCTTCGTACGTCTTAGTCTAACACTCGGCTCACGTCTGTCTTCTCAGGTCAAGAAATGCTGACCCTCAACCCTCGCACCCTTCTCCCACTCCTTTACTCATTTAGTTTTGACGCGACCAAGGTATACACTCTTACGTACACCCTCTCTCTCTTTCTCGAGAAAAGTCGAACTTAAATATGTGATAGACCAAGCGTATACCACCCACCCCTTTTTTGATATTACACGTTTTACATCCGTTTGAAACTAGATCGGTGATCTTTAATACGTACAGAAGACACTGAAAGATCTGGTCTTCACCTAAGATTCACAGAATTAATGGACGCCGCAGAGGAAATCTCGCGCATTATGGTTCGCATTCAAAGCTTCGAAACAAAATTCACGGTCTTTAAGAGCTACGGAAGATACAAAAATCTTACACACATCGACGTTCACCTAATTTCTTCACAAGACCTGCTCCCTTACCCAAGATTCTTCAAGCCATAAAGTTAGCGAACGATGCAGAGGAAATGTGGTACATTATTTCCCTTCGTTTATACCTCTAAAACGAAACTCATGGTCTTTAAAACTATCGCAACTACCGAAAGCTTATACGTACCGACCATTCGCTTAGTTTCTCCACGCAGACTCACGCTAATCCCGACATCCGATCTTTACCTCCATCCTATCTATGATCAGTCCACATTTCTACCATACACGGGAACTCATAATTCCCGGTATAACGTCCACTTCCTCGAGACACACATCCTCGCGTCGACCAGTAAGGGTAGTACAGATGAAGCAAAAAAGCCTGGTGCATCGGTCGGGCAGTTGGAGACGGCTGCTGGCTCGGGTTATACGTGTTTGGCGGCGGAAACAGCGGCATGATAGCCCGTTTAACCCGTCTCCAACCCCCGCGGTGCAACTTGTTTTCCCTCGTGTTCGCCTTTTCTTTTTGGCAAAGCTTCAACCCTCGTGGAGGGCAGAAGGAGACTGTGATCGAAGGGAGCGCGACGTTACGGATGGGTTTGTCGGCGTGGTTCGGGTTTTCTGCTCGCTTAAGAAACGACGTGTTTACCGGCCATCGAAGGAAGCCCATAACCTGTCCGACTGGCTGCCACCG